TGGGGTTTCAGGGGTGTCCAGAAGGTTCTAGGGGTGTCTATGGGATCCTAGAGGCGTCTCTGAGGTCCCAGAGGTGTCTACAGATTTCTAGGGCTGTCTCTGAGGTTCCAGGGGTGCCCGTGAGGTTCTGGGGGTGTCCATGAGGTTTTTGGGGTGTCCATGAGGTTTTTGGGGTGTCTGTGGGGTTCTAGAGGTGTCCATGAGGTTCCAGGAGTGTCTGTGGGGTTCTAGAGGTGTCTTTGGGGTTCCAGGGGTGTCCACGAGGTTCCGGGGGTGCACCCCGGGTCTGGTGGGGGCAGGGGGGGAAGGTGGTCCTGGAGGGGGGAAAACCAAGGGGTGGGATCACTGGGAGGTGCTGGGGTCACTGGGAGATGGTGGGATCACTGGGAGGTGCTGGGATCACTGGGAGATGGTGGGACCAGTGGGAAGGGGGGGACAATTTCCCACCGAGACCTGCAAGTAGAGCCCGGGGCACGGAGCTGCTTGGACTGGTTGAACTGGTTTAATTCTCCAGTGGAACTGGTTGAACTGGTTCGATTCTCCAGTTAACCAGTTTAATGGGTTTTGCTGGTTTAATTCTCCAATGGAACCGGTTTAACTGGTTTAATTCTCCAGTTAACCAGTTTAATTGGTTTTGCTGGTTTAGTTCTCCAGTGTTACTGGTTTAATTGGTTTAACTGGTTTAATTCTCCAGTGAAACCGGTTTAACTGGTTCAATTCTCCAGTTAACCAGTTTAATTGGTTTAGCTGGTTTAATTCTCCAATGCAACTGGTTTAAATGGTTTAACTGGTTTCATCCTCCACAGTAACTGGTTGAACTGGTTTAATTCTCCAGCGCAACTGGTTTAAATGGTTTTTAGAGGTTTAATTCTCTGGTGGAACTGGTTTTTTTTTTTTTTGCTTTTGAAAATACCAAGGGTGGGAAACACCAAGGAAAGGACTGGAAAGAGTGAGGGAAGGGTGGAAACCAGGATGGAAAACAAGGAGGGAAGGACGGAAAACAAGGAGGGAAGGACGGAAAACAAGGAGGGAAGGACGGAAAACAAGGAGGGAAGGACGGAAAACAAGGAGGGAAGGACGGAAAACAAGGAGGGAAGGACGGAAAACAACAAAGGAAGGACGGAAAACAACGAGGGGAGGCTGGAAAATGGGATGGGAAAGAGCGAGGGGGAGGATGGAGAAAACCATCTGCTCCAGAGACACCTCCTGGGTAACTGCGTCGATGGAACTGCCACCCCAGAGCCGGGATGGCCGCGGGCAGTTCCTGCTGGGCCGGACCTACAGGAACTGGTTCTTGCTGGGCTGGACCTACAGGAGCCAATTCTTGCTGGGCCAGGCTTATGGGAGCTGGATCTTGCTGGACCAACCCTACAGGAGCTGGATCTTCCTGGGCCAGGCCTAGGGGAGCTGGTTCTTGCTGGTCCAGACCTACAGGAACTGGTTCTTGCTGGGCTGGGCCTACAGGAGCCAATTCTTGCTGGGCCGGGCCTGTGGGAACTGGTTCTTGCTGGGCTGTCCCTGTGGGAACTGGTTCTTGCTGGTCTGGCCCTACAGGAGCTGGTTCTTGCTGGGCCAGGCCTATGAGAGCCAGTTCTTGCTGGGCTGGGCCTGTGGGAACTGGTTCTTGCTGGGCCAGGCCTGTGGAAACTGGATCTTGCTGAGCTTGACCTACAGGAACCAGTTCTTGCTGGGCCGGGTCTGTTGGAGCTGGTTCTTGTTGGGATGGTCCTGTGGGAACTGGTTCTTGTTGGGATGGTCCTGTGGGAACTGGTTCTTGCTGGGATGGTCCTGTGGGAACTGGTTCTTGCTGGGCTGATGTTACAGGAGCTGGATCTTGCTGGGAAGGGCCTGTGGGAACTGGTCCTTGCTGGGCTGATGTTACAGGAGCTGGATCTTGCTGGGAAGGGCCTGTGGGAACTGGTCCTTGCTGGTCCAGGCCTACAGGAGCCAATTCTTGCTGGGCTGGGCCTACAGGAGCTGGATCTTGTTGGGATGGTCCTGTGGGAGCTGG